AAAAAAATTAATTTCACGCCCTGAACTTTGATTTGCCAGAGAAAGGCATAACTCCAGTTTAACGAGTGTTTTCGGGCACTTTTCGCGTGCAAATTTTCTGGCAGGACTACAAACCTTGACTGTGAACAGTCAATGCTAACCCTCAGCAAATATTTTAAAGCAAAGGATTCTGAAATTATTGTTCGGGCGTTTTCAATAAGAGTCCAAATTAAAACTATATAATTAAAGGTTATTTAAGGTGAAATATCACGCAGTTTCTGTCTACCAATCAACTTCACGTTTCACTTAGTGGAACTTAACCTTGTCTAGAGTAATTGACAATTGATGAGTACTTCTATCATTTGTTCTTAGCCCCTTTTTTTCTCTTTTTCTTTTGTCAGCACGTAAGGACATTATCAAGGAAACAGTTTATGTTGCGAGCCCTTCTATATAAGGCAAGAAAAACAGCTGGATTAACGGAAGTAGCAGGATAAAGTTTAATGTGTCTTTCTAGATATTTAGCCGTGTAAGCTCTGAATTTGCCCGCCTAGGGTGTTACTTGAGGTTATTCTTTTCTTTTTGTATTTTAGGTGGAGTAATTCTCTTATATTGCACTGAACAGGACGAGATTATTCCACAATTGAGGAATATTTTAAAGTGAAGTTTCGGTTATTATTCCACAAACCAAATCTTTCGAAGGGCTCCTACTGAGGCCTGTATGCAGCTCGTGAAATTGTTTGTAGAAGTGAAAGATCACCTCACGTGTAGCTCAATAAAACTACAGCTAATGATCGTGAGACTATTATTTCGTTCTGCTCATGAGGAATTGGTTGGTTCTGCTTATGTAATGACTTGGACCAACTTTTCAATCTAATCTTCGATGCTTTTAGATATGATTTTTGCGGTGTATATGTGACTGAGAAGATGTTTGTAGAGCTATATGAAAAAATACTGTACCCATTAAATAACAAAAATTGGACTTTTGGTAGTCGTTATCGCTTTGTATATTGATGTTGAGGAACCTTATTACATAATTACATATTACATACAATTATTTACCGAAGTTGTGGTAAATGTTCATCACTTTCACCAACACTTAGGTTGATAACTTTATTAGCATTTTTTACACAAGCTGAACAATTGACAGACCAAATTAAAACTCCACTCTTACAAAATAGTCGCAATCAGTAAGATAATCATCCAGAGCGATGATCATTCCCGTGAACTGTCACACATCAAATCGAGTAGTTGAAGGATGTTCAAGTTGGACTAAGATCTGAGTCAAATTTTTCCCTGTTCCCTCTCATTATTTACTTGTTTCGAAGTATCGTTCTCTTTTTTCTGCTTTCATCTCGCCTACGTCCTACTAATAAACGCTTCTGCCCTGCTGGCGGAAACGCAGACAACACAAGCGTGAGAGAGAGAGAGCTTCGTCTGTGTCTGGGGCGTGTGACTTTTCGCCTTCGCGTACAGGTCCAAAGCACTTGGCGCCCGGTTGAGTAGAGTTCGTGCATGGCAAGCTGAACCTTTTCGACCCAGACTGTAAGCTCACCCTAAACTCTTCAGAAAATTTAATTATACTAAGGCTCATGCAGGGATTTTACAATAAATGAGATTCAAATCGCGAAGGGAAGAAACGATATGAGACCCCACCTAGATTTGCTGACACGAATGAACATATCTTGAGTCTAAAATCAAATTTTAATATTAATGTCTGTGTCCTAATCCATCTCATCACGCAACGTACGTGCTCTGCTTAAGGAAACATTTAAATCAAAGAGCTCAGAACGAAGCAACTTCGAAGCTTACCTTGTGAATGCTTTTAATGGTGTACCTTCAATTCCCGGCAGAGCCAGTCAAACGTTTGGCTTACTCATTCAAGGAAAGGACATCATAAACCCTTATAAGCCACAGTTTTGAACTCTATTTTATCGCAATTTTATTGTAACTTTTGTATGACTTAAAGCATTTGTGAGTAAGAATGCCACAGTTAGCGAACTGTGGTTGGGGTCCTTTGAACTTCAGACGCTTCAGCTACCGAGGCAGGCAAGTCGAATCCCTTGTAGAAGGGGACAGACAATAGTGACAATAGTCATAATTATTTCAACTGTCTCATTACTTTGAAGATTGTCTGAGGAAAACAAAGGACAAAGAAAAAAAAACCAACAACCAAAGACACTGATGGTAAGCAGTTGGCCTCCTCTACGTCTAAATTTGTCCGAGACATTCAAATTGGATCAAGTGAGTAAAACTATTGAGACCACGTGAAAACCTCCCTTTCGTATGTTAGTTGGCCTGTTCCACATAAAAGGAGATAAGTGTTTGGAAAGTTTCACGAGGATGGTGTGATAAGTAAGTAATTCTTCGAATCTCAAAAATAACAAAAATAATAATATTAATATAAATTGATTAAAAAACAGGACATGTGGTAGACCTGATTACAAAAATTGCCTCTCTAACCAAACGTAATCCGTTTGAGGGTCCATTTCCGTGTTCAGATGTCAAGATTTTATAGTGTGTTGGTCATATAATAACATATCAGTAGGGATGAATTCGATATTCATTTTTAAAGAAAAAAAGGCGATAAAATGAAATCTTTCCTGAAGATGAGATGGACCGTTTGCCATCTTGTCATTCAGTCAATCCATCTATTGATCCATCATTTTCAATCTTCTTTGGAAAGATGACAGCTAATTGCAAATCACTGTAATTTGTCATGTACAATAATCAGTTTAATCCAGAAAAATTTCTGTTTTCTGTTTTTGATAGTTTTTTTTTGTACCTGTCTGTGCACAACCCTCCAAAGCATCCCATAACTTAACTCTATATTGTGAGACAAACGAATAAACGTCCATTTATTTTAAAAACCACGATGATGCCAGCTCAGTAACATCGAACTTGCTGACCAGTGAAAAATCTCCTCAATTTCTTATTTCACAATTATTAAACACAAAGACGGGAGATTGATCATAATCAGGGAGCTTACTGTTTTCATGCTAGTAAAGACAAGATAACTCTACTAGCTCATTACGAGTTAACAAAGAAATTGTGTGCATCTCATTCTCATCCCCACCAATTCCTGCCCCTTTTCCACAAAATTTCAAAATCGAATCATTTTACCATGAACCATGAACGAATTCAGAGAATGTAAGCAGCAGTTAGTGATGGCGCTTATAAAGCCAAAATGTCACTTCGTTGTTGTGGTAACCCATTTTAACCAGTCATGAAACTTCTGATTTCATCCATGACATGCTTATTATTCGTTATCTCGAAGATACAGTCAAATCCTCTACAAAATTTCTACTCGCGTCTTACGTTCTTATAATCACCGCCTAACAGCAGACGTCCGCTAACTCCTATGATTAAAAATATGTAAACTCAGGCTAATTTGAATTAGCTTCCACTTTGTCAGTTAATTGTCTCTCAGACAGCTTTACTTAAATAGCGATTATCTCTGTGGCGGAAAAACTGCTGATCTTGTTTAAAATAGGTTTTCCCTGCCAATTCTAGATAAAATTTCAGCGCAAAACATGTGAAAAAATGAATTTAAGATTAAGATGCCGTGACTGAATCCCATATGAAATATCAAATGATCGTGTGGATTTGTATCTGTCTCAAGACTGCACCTTTCTTTTGCCCCTATCTTTGGTCAAGTACTTCAATGAAAAAGGGAGTAAGCCTAAGAGTGATGAAAATTAAACGCAGTTCATTAGGCAGGCCTGTTAGTCTAACAATTTTACAATTACGCACCGTGTAACTTTAAAAATTTGCAACAGCTTCAAAGGCGGATTGGCGGCTTTGGTGCTTTATTTGCGGAAATCTCAGGAACATATTTTGGCGATTTCTGGAGACTGAAACTCTGAAAGTTTAATATCAATGCATTAGTTAGAAAATGTAAAGTGTGAATAGTTTATTACCTTTTGAGTTGCAACACACTCTGCTTGGTATAGGCATTTCAATCAATTCCATTAAATGTTCGAGGACAACGTCTTCTTTTTGTCCAGGAGGACATTCACATGACCATAAAGGTTACGCTTACCCCTGCTGTGTGCAACAAAACGCTGTTTCAGTTTTCAAGGGGCTTGTTTGAGTATTTCCTTTCGTGTTGGGAATTCCATACAATACTGCGCTCCTTATTCCAGGCGTAGTCTTTCAGAGAGACGAAAAGTTTTTACCTCTGACGTTCAATGCACGCTCATTAAGAGTAATACGTGCTCGTTTAATAGTGGATCGTTCGATACGAAAAAAAAAAATTTAAACTAGACAGTGACTAACAACTATTCTTAAGTTCACTTCGTCCCTACATCACAAACGGTTTTTGTTTTTTTCATTTTTCCCAGTATTTCGCCGCTTATAGAGTTACTAAATTAAATTGAAACAACTGTTTGATTTTTTTCTGTATGAGTGTTCCTTGACCTTTTGGACATTTGGACTTATAATCTTTCTTTGAAGTTTTTTTCCCATATAATGTAACTTCATCTCACTTTGAACTACCGCACAGAAAGTAACCTACCGCGCTATCATGCTGTTGATTCCAATTAGTTAATATTTCTGCCCCATCTGAGTCCATTCTGGGTTGCAATACTCCACTGAACGAAACATGTGTCTTTTCAAAACAAATACGGGCATGATTGATTCAACAGTAGCTTGTGCTTTAGATGAAACGGAAAATTTGAAAACCGTAGACGTTATGCAAAACTGATTCTATTTTTAGACTCTTAAAGTTGTTTCCATACCGTAAAATACTGCACGGTTCAGCGTTAATTCTTATCTCTGATACGTCTGTTAGCATTCGTATATATAATGACTTATATCTGTTCACACTTGTACTATTATTAGTGTTGCTATTTGTGCAAATCTTATATGATAGAGCCATTCAGTGTCAAGAAAATCGGGCTAGATGCTCTGCATGTCGAACCAGTAAATCCCTTCAGTCGCCAATGGTCTTAGGATCGCAGAAATCGCCTTAGTTGTTTTTAAAATCCCACAGTCATTATGGATCGCTCTATGTCGACTTAAAACGCCCACAATTAGTGGCAACGTTTGGATCGCTTTAAGCTGACTGTAAGCCAGCAAATATGGAGCCCTTGGCGCCCACAGGAGTTCTGTCTTTTCTTCAGGACTTTCCTCATTAGATAGAGACCTCAATTATATAAATAACAGTGTTGAGCCCACATGTTTGCCAATAGCAGGGTGGTCATACCATTCTCGTTTTTTACCTTGGGAGATTTGAATTTTTGTAACATTAATTAGTTTACATTCTGATCTAAATTATCCAATCGTCAATTAGCACTAGTTGCTGCAAACAAGAAACAACGCTCTACGGTTTACCTGTATACAAGCTGTAAATCAAGGAAAACTCATTGATCTTAAAGGAAACGAGAAAATTGGTGTTTTTACGCCACCATACTTTGGTTAAAATCTTTACGCCAGAGCATAAATATTCTCCCACTCTTTGATAAATTAACTAATGGAGAATTGTTCATGCCAATTCTGCTTCTCACTGTCGGCATATGTGACCAGCAGCCTAGTGTAGGTGAAGTTTATTTACCGAACACCAAGAACTAAGATGCATGAGCCAACAAGCTTCTGTAAGTCAGCCGTCCATCCGACATCTTCCGACAACATCATCAAGCAAGTTGTGAGATAAAAAGACTCTCGAACATAGGATAGTCAAACGTGTACATTTTGCTGGATACGTGTCAAATGGAAGATGGAGGTAAGCAAGGCGAATGCTCGAATGGGCGTGAATTTCCGCAGTTTCATGGGTGTGCTCCAGTTCATAAGATTAAAATTTAAATCGTTTCCTTAGAACAAGAATGTTTACATTCTCAGTTTTTCTAGAAGTATTTGATCCGCCGTTTCTTGTAGCTCCAGAGTTTTCTTTGATAATTAAACACGTTCGTTCTTACTGTAACTAGTGGGTTTCGATTGTAACTAATCATTCAACTATGAAAAAAGAAAAAAAAAAACTAACACTATGAAGCTGACTGAAAGCGAAATTTGTAACTTAGGTTAGTGTAAGTAAGAATTATTTAAGCTCCTCTGCAACGCAAATGAAAGCACGTAGTGTGTGTTGGGAAAAGTGGTCTCTGCCTAACGGGTATTCACTTCCATTGCCAGCAGACCTCTAAAAACAGGCGGATCTCATTAACAGGAAAGCAATTAAGATCGTTTTGTCTGATTGGCCACGATTTAAGTGTAGAATGGACCTTGATTCTTCTTGAAGCATATCCGGTTTAGCACGTTGATAAATAAAGACTCGTGGCATTGACAGCCGCCAATGTTGAAGATAAGCTCGAGCTAAACATCGCACCGCCATGAGGAGCATTTACATATCGATTTTGCTAATGCTTGCATTACTGAAGATTATCGCTATTGGCCATCCAATTAAGCAACAAGGAGACCCTGAAGCCATCATAATAATTATGACTGGGCAACGAGTAGAAAAACCAAATATTGAGTCGACTCTCGAGCAGACAGACCAGAAGCCGAAAGACCGATGGCTGAAGCACTGGGTAAAGAGGATATTAAGTAAGAAAGTATTTTAAAAAAGTGAACTTCTTTTTCGATTATTTTTTTCTTTTGTGTCAAAGCTTTGCTTCAAGCAACAATTATTACCGATAACCAATGTCGAATCGCAAGAGAAATCTCTCAGCGGAAAATTAATATTACAATTAATAGCCAGTCTTGTTTGATTTGATTTTTGACATGAGAGGGTGTTGACGGAAGACAGTTTTTAAGGAGATTTGACGTGGCTGATTTTACCATATCTTTCAGACACGTCCAAAAGCCGACTAAGTGACCTTACAGGCCAACTTTTAATCCTTAATAAAAATTTTGAGCATGATAGTATAGTAATAGTATTCCACAGATTTAAGACAATATTGAGACCACAGACAAAGAAAGGGCGGCGTAATGATCTGAAAAGTCACGACCACTGTTATTTTTCCATTGAGAGGGTTTAGACATTGATGAACCTAGAACTACGGAAAATTAAAAATCCCTTTTCAGGCGTTTTTGCAGCCTCCAATTAAATCTTTTATTATTATTGCGGATATGCTTAGCGAAGAAGCTTCTAGACTTTTACACGGTTGACCGACGAACGATCAATTTGCACAGCACCAAAACGACTTTTTTGTGTGTGTGTGTGTGTGTGGAACTAATGCATCTTACACTCTGCTTCCTTTGTTGCCAATAATAGAGAACAAAAATGGCAGATGACTCTCCCGATCGATACAGTGGACCTCGGTGAGAATGCAAGACTTGTGGTGATGAGGAAAATGCGGTGTTTTGGTCTGAAGAAATCCAAACAATATTTGTTTTGCCGACACCGGCGTAGGACACGTAAACAACTCTAGACTTAAAAAGTTTTAAACTTGAATTATAAATTTCATTAGAGGTGTAAATCTAAACTGTTATCGCATACGCTTTCGTCAAGATGATGTTAAAGTAAACTATTTATAGAATTTTTTAGCCCGTTTGCTAAGCTCGTGTGAGATAATTCTGTGCAAGGTCTACAACTACCGTTGTAAAGGGGCGTTCTGATACTGTACGACCGGAAAGAGTCCGAAAGTTATCTGAACCGCATTGCTCTTGTTGATTTATTTGTTTGACATCTTTACAGTTGAGATGAAAAAGAAGAACTGCAGAGAGTGAATTAAACTAAAACAGATGTGGGCCTGTAAAAGAAATAATCACTAACAGTCGCCATGGCCATTTAATATGTCATCAGCCGAAAGACGGCAAAATGCCAGAGCTAGCAGACAGGGCTATTAAAATAGAATTACGCAAACGTGTTGTTTGAGTACATGTTATGACCAAGATAAACAGAGATCAGCAGTGTAGGTTAGTATAACATACAGGTCAGTCAAATCTTCTTATCACGCCTCTCCTTAGCACGGAGCATAACACCTCTGCGGAGATATCAGGCGACTCAGGCAAATACGTTCCCTCCAGAAATTGTCTTCAAAGTGAAATTCAAGCTATCAGTGTCGGTCTGTTCTAAAGAACTCATAAACTGCAAACTCGGACAAAAAGCATGCTCTATTACAGTAGATGCATATCAGAGATTTTTTGCGCCTTTGAGATAGAGGAAAGTATGCGCTCCCTGTAGCTCTCCAACAGTTGAATAATACAGTCCGCTTGTCACAATAATACCAAATTTGGGCATACTGTAGGGCCAGATTTTGGCTTTTAAGATTTCATGAGTCCAGCGTTAAGGTTCAGGATGTGGTTTACAAATCGACACTCAGTAGTTTCCGTCTGGAAATAAAAAAAACTTTCGTATAGTAGCGCATGTTGTTATTATCTTCCGGATGAAGCAGTCAAAGTCAGTTACACAACAAACACTCAGCTCGCATCTTTGGGGAAATTAAACCAAGTGTCTGAATTATTATATTATCAGGCACTAGAATGTGTTTGCAGAGAAGATTATTTAAAATTCTTTGCAGTATTTCATCTTCCTATCATCTGCCCCACGGTCAAGAAATAGGGAATTGTGAATTAGTTAATTGCATTATTACCAATCCGGATAAGTGGAATTTTCGGAATTATTTTAATTCACGAACAAAAGTTGCAACATTTACGTATCAGGAATTTATTGTCACATTTTATGTACCAGAAATACATTCAAAAAAATACTTCTCGCCCGATCCCTCACAATTTCACACATTTCAAGTGTTTGTCGTTGCCGAGATATGGACAGCTCAGAGGGTGTCTTTTATGGCAACTGAAAGTTTATTTCTCTTGCGGTTTTACCCACAAAGCAATCAGTGACCAAGGGAATGAAGGCAAAGAGGCCACATCTTTTCTGTTGGAGTTTCGCGTTGAGAGGGAAAGTGAGAAAGATATGGAGTGATCCATTTTTGTTTCAAACGTCTTTCTCGCTTTCTGCTATCTGGAATGCACAGAACATAATCGATAGCGGCCATGTGATCATGTCTCGTGTTCTATGACGACTATTTTACCCGTGTTTATTTTCTTCCGTCATCAGCTTGTGCATCATCACACGTAGAACACATTTAAAGACCGGACGTATAATACTTAAAAATATAAATGATGATCAATCAGATCATAAGGCAAACAACTATCCGTATATTTCTGAAAATGAACAGCCGCCAGAAGCACGAGTTCAAGTGAAATATATGAAGGTATCGCATTAACACGACAGAGCAACGATTCAGTGGATAATCATTTTATGAGCGACTTTCGCAATTAATCGGAGTAAAGTGAATTGGTATTTTTCTGATTTATTTCCTTCCACTAATTTGCTAAAGTCAATCATTGCACCTCATCATCAAGCAATTATATTGAATAGCTCTAATGCATTCCTTAATCGTTGAGGAACGGATCTCTCCAAGATGGCATCCAAAGACGTTTAATTTACCGGCTACCCCGTTTTAGCAACGATGTCAAGTAGGCAAAAAGGTGCTTTGATTTTGTTTAATGTGCTTAAACTACTTTGTACCTAAGTTGTTTTGATAAGTGTTTGTTCTAAGACGAAGCTGAAATGGTCTGATATCATCCCAATTACAATGTCATTCTGTCGTCATACAACAGTCGTTTCCTTCATAAATAGCTTCCTTTTTATGATGAAATAAAACACGTAATGGCTATTTTTCTCAAGGTGTATTTTAAGAGATAAATAATCCATTACAGTCAATTACATCTTCGAGTCAAATAAGGCTCACAACTGGCATGAGGTAGCAAAAACAACGTCCTTGAACGAATATCAAAAGATGTATTTATTATAAATAGATAATTATTGTATAACTTCACTTTTTCCGTGTACAAATAAATAACATTCTGATGATGCAAGACTCTTCCTTTTTTCGAAAAGCGTCCCACTAATAAATAACATTTTATCCAGATCTTTCTTGAGCTGGCACTCTATTTTTCAGTTCCTCGCAAGAGTAAACATTGTCATCCTCTGAGTTCATAAATTTCACCAAGAATCTGCTCCAGAAAATCTGCCTTGTTTCGACTGTAAAAGCATAAAAAATCCGTGTTAGATAAGAGCAAATAGTTTCGATCTTCTGCATGTGATTTCTTCACCGTCGGAGAGCCGAAATGTACGTGTAACAACTGCCAATTTATCAAACTGCTTCATAAGGAAACCCAGCCAATAACTTTAATTGTTTTATCTTAATTGCGGTTGCAGTTGTTGAACCAGAAACAAGCAACAGGAAGTGTCAGGAATGTGCTTTGCCCTCGTCACTTCAATTTTGCAAACATGTTGTTTTCCCATGTTTAAAATTTCGGTTTTACACAAATTGTGCAGTACAAGGGTGCTAAAGTTTCCCACTTCGTGCTGAGTAAGTTAATTCTTAAGCTTTCAAAACCTGTATATAACAAATTTAAGTTCTTGCTACTGGTCATGCTAAATTTACTGTAACAAATTTGTGAGCCTACTAGAGTTTGCGTTGCCAGCATTGGCATAATGTAAAGAGATAACGCTCTGAGCACAGTAAAAGAAGATCAAGGTGTAAAGATTCTTACCTTAGATCTGTGCGTTGTTTTGTATTTTTGAACCCACTTCGATAACTCTGATACTTTTCTTTCCAGCTCCAGTTCTTTGTTCTTCAGTCTCTTAAGCTTTCTTCTCAGCCTGACGCCATCCGATGCTTGCTTTTTTTTGTCCCTCTTAAGTTCATCTCTTCTTGCAGTAAGTGATAAAGCAAACCCCTCACTGTTTCTGCAGAGGGTAGCCAGGACGAGGAATAATACAAAAGAAATCGTCAGCACTGTTGATGTTTTCATCTTTCTCTCAGCGTGTCTATGCAAATGTGTCTCACGATGCTTCTTGCAGCGGTCTTTTATACCTACTCACTTATAAGATAAATCAAATACTTAGTTAATGACTCAAATATGGATTGGAATGATCACGCCCCCATTCCTCGAAATAGAATGATCCAATGACATGGCAAGCTTGAAGTATCCATTCATTTGAATCCAAGCTGTTCTTGGACAACAACGCCTCAGGGCGCCTGGAAACTCCTATAAACTTCTCGCCTCGAATAGCCAAACAACCTCGATTGTAACATAAACAAACAGTTGTCCTAAAAACTTGGGCCTACAGTGATGTTTCTTTCAGTCTTGTTACACCCCGTGGCGCTCAGCTCAGTAAGAAAATGCAGACAAATAATGGAGTGGTTGTTAAGGAATATTTAATGACCCATAACGAACAGTTCGAGCGTTTTGACAAGCGGAATGATAGCCACTAAGTCGAGAGGCTACTGAACAAAATAGCAATTCTATCTTAATTACACATCCCGCCTGCTGAAGGGCACTTGCATTTGCACATTAACTCTTAAAAGGACACTCTTCGGATCACAACTAGACATAAACCGTTTATAAGAATGATGAATGGAAAATTCGAAAAATGCAATTTGGAAGCCTTTTATCATGGCGGTAACCCATGGCTGTCGTTTTTACGCCGATGGCATACTGTGCTGCAACCACATAGCCGAGATTCATTCATAGCGTTTGAAGTCATATCATGGATAGTCAAATGATCTTGGTAATTCAGGGTTGGCTACGTTGGCTGAACATGATAATGCGATTTTACGGGGAAACTTCTTTCATTGGGCTTCTTTTTGAACTAAGTTACTGTTTTATCTATTGTATTGAAGAATTTTCAACGGTATTTTGATGTCGTGATGCAAGGTCTTTGTTGGTCACAAAAGTGTAATAAGACTTTCAAAATTGCCTAAAACATTAACTTTGAAATGAGAGTCATCTACCAAGGATCCACTATTGTTATGTTTGAGAGGTTTTGTTATTATTCTCGCGAATTCTGTGCAACAATACCCTACTCCACTATTTATAAAACAAATGATGCTGACGTTTTTTTATGGTTTAATGTTCCCACAGTGTCTCTTCCTTTGGCCAAACCGAATTGTCGAGATTTCAATGAACTAGACAAGAGGAATTTTAGGTATTTAACAGAAAGTTAAATTACAACACGAACACTTTGTCGTAAGTTCCTCTATTTACCAGGAGCAATGACGATATGACAGTTTTCCTCTTTAATTTTAATTTCAAGGTATCTATCGGCAAAAAATCCAGAATCCAACGGAAACTTTCTTACGCATTTTTAAAATGTTCGGTTTCCGGTATAGAAGGACTTTGGTGCGTTAAGCGAACAAAAGGCACAAACTGATATTATAATTTCATGCTCTGAAGAACTGCGAGCTGAAAAACAACTATCACTTTAAGTAATTTAGGTTAAAATATTTCTAAATAACTTGTTTTTTAATGATTTTCTATCTACTCGGAAGCTCATATTTTATCAATACATTTAGATTATCAACATAAAGAGGGTTTTATCCAAACAGATACCTCGGTAAAATCTCGAAGAAATTACCGAGATATTTTTTGCAATGATGTAAAAACCACGTTTTCCAAATAACATTCTAAATCCATAAAAATCGATTCTAGAAAACCGGGAAATTTCTTTCACAACTCTATATTAGCCTTCTTAAACATTGTCAGCGTGTAATAGCTTTAGTCCCAATTTAGCTGATAGAATACTTGAAGTTTCTATGCATGTCTATATCTGGTCAATAGGTAAGCATAGTCCTAAAGTTTGCGCGTTCGAGATATCGTCAATTTTGTCCTGTTTGTAATCTTTGTGTGAGACTCGTGGGCCTCTTAACTCTCGCAGTGCGTGTGCCTCTCTATAACCAGGATCATGTAAGGGACACCAAAAACTTGCCAGGAAAACGTAGGAAGACGTAAGAGCGAAGATAGCCCATGATAGACCGACATGATAAGGAGTAATAATAACTGCTGTCCAAGAGAAAGCGGTATAGGTTCCATGTAGCATTCACGGCGATTCTGACTCAGGGTGCGGACTTCAACTACAGATTTTAACGCTTTTCTGTTCAGTCAAGAATTCCTTGGTGAAAAGCCACAACCTTGATCACTACGTAGGATTGGAAAATGTTTCAGTCATTTATGACTTTTGTCTCTCTCTGTATCTTTGCAAAATTGAATGAACAATTTGCAAATTTGAGCAATATCTGATTTTGAAAGGGAGAATAGGGGTGTCGAGGACTTATTTTTGAAGGTCGTTATTCAAAATTCGCTTTATTTTTACGAATTTTCTGCCACAATTTTCAAAGATTGTCGGGGCTCAATGTGGCAGTTTCCACATTTTTGGCAGATTTCTATTATGCCCCAGCATATCGTTGACATCGATTTGTAAGACAAGTAACGCAAACTTTAACGCAGCCTAAGGAAATGATTCGCGCCTTAGAAAACACTATTCTAGGAAAAGGCTTTTTTTATGCATGAAGTAATGCCACGTTCGGCCAAGAAAGAGGGTTAAGAAGCGATTTACATGCATATTTGGGAACCTAATTCGCCCAATCTCTAAGAAACTTTTTACCACTGCTCTATTGAGATAATAAATTTTTGACTATTGATATCATTCTATGTTCAACTAAAATTGTGTTTTTTTGCCCAACCATTGCTCGGTGGAAGGGAAACTAGTGTGAGAAACAAAGCATGGCAGCTGTACCATTCGATCCAGGGTGCAAGTTGTGATTTATTGGATAGCAGCAGCCAGCAGGGAGCGTTCCGACCCCCATCTTTGAAACCAAGGTTTGAACCTTGCCTCATGATGTAGCCTACGTATTGTCAGCAGTTTTGTGTGCGCTTTGAAGGGATCTTGTAGCCACAGTTTGAACCTTGTCTCATGATGCAGCCCACGTATAGTTAGCGGTTTTGTGTGCGCTATGAAGCGTTGAGTGCCGGAGCTGCAAATCGAGCGGCGAAGCCACGAGAGGTTCGAGAATCCAAAATACCACCAGCTATACAAGCTAATGAGTTTGTTGTTGTGAGTTTGCTTCCTCGCTCCAAAGGTTTTTCTGAGTTTTCCGGTTTTTCTCGTACGTTAAATCACACTCAAAATCACAATTCGACCACAAAAGACGACCAAGAGCCACGTAAAACAATAAACTTGCCACTGCCAAAACCCACTTTATGATGTATTACATCATTCAGTAATTATGCCTGTGACTAAACTTGTCTTGTAAGTAAAAATGTTTCCTTTTATTTGACCAAATTCTTAGGAAATGACATAACGAGCTCGAATTTCTCTACTGTCACATCTCTGAGTAACAAATCCTTTATCCTCTCATAGATGTTGTAAATTACACAAGGAGGTCGAGAGGAAGTCGCGAAGTATATTCCTAACTAAAAATAGTTTCCATCGAATGTACTGTTTACAGAAGCCTGTCACTGTGTACTTATGAATCGTAGCTGAGAGTCAAACTTGAGACACTCGAACATGTTTCAATCTGCAGTAGTTTTATTTATGATTAGGTCCAGCTCGAGGTGGAGCCCAAATGTCGACATTAATCAATTTGCGCACGCTATAATTTAAAACGAGCATACAAACCTAAAAAAAAAAATCAGTTATTTTCCACAAATATGTTATTTTAAGCGCTTAACTGGTACCTAAAGTTTCTAATGAAATTACATAAAAAGGAATAAATAAATAGAAGTTGAAATCTCAACAGCCGATTTGCATCATTTTCACAAATGTACCAACGAGCAAGCATTTTCATTGCTCGTCATTATTTCAACATTTAATGCTGGACAAAGTTAATGAGGCTGATATAATTAAGTCTTGGCAATTTATTTCAGTCTTTTCGAGTGTGTGAATTTACCCTGTTCGAAGAATGCATCATTTATAAATATGACTTTTAACTTAGTTCGCACCAATCTTGTGTTGGATCTTAGTCTTATGTTCGTTGAAGGTGGAAGGAAGTTTACAATCCAACGTTGTGTCTCAACAACATGGCGCATGTTTTCCATGCTTTTCCTGCAGTGTCATTCGTGGATCACCAAATGGGCTTCTTTCTTACGCCCCGATCTCCAACATCGAAACTTTTGCTCTACAAAACAACGACATTTTTAAATTTAGACTATGTGTATAGGCCACCGCGTTGTACCATCAGGTTTCCAAGATTACACGCAGTGCATTCACCTCCGTGATTTATTTTTAAACTTTTTGTTTGTTCTTCTCAGTCAGCGAACCGCAAAGAGAAAAGTCAATTTTAAAACGTGCCTTACTTTTCCTTTATCATGACTGAATCTTTCCAGCGACTGCTTGTGATGGATTAAGCTTTTCACTGATAATGCTTTGATTGTTTCAGACTCAAGTGCTTCTTCTACAACGACCGAGAGATGTACAAGATACGCTTTTTTTATTTACTGCATGGCGTGTGTTTGCTAATGACGATGTTTACTACTAATTTGCTTTTTTCTCTCTATCAATAAATTTCACCTCATTCACGACGAAAGTGCTAAGTGTTTGTCTCAGACTCCACTATTCCCACATTCTTAGGATAATCAAGTCGATTTGGTTTCAAATGTTGTCATTATTTAACGCGTGTAGAAGTATCTACAAAATTTCCATAATTTCGAATGCGTAGAGATTACAGTGGATTACACTCACGTTTACACTCACGTTTTCGTTTTCAAAACATCCGCGTCGACCGGTTACAAAATCGCCAAATCAAACGAGGTTGATACTTCTGCTCCAACCCCAAACGCATTAAGCATTTCATTGACAATGCTTAAAGACGGAACACTCACTTACTTGTATTAGCCTTGTAGCACTGAATTAATTATTTCGTTATTATATCATAAGTCTTGTGTCTACAAACCAGACTCGCTACTTACCTTCTTGGAGAATCGTGTCAGCCAGCGCCTCATTTCCTTGAGTTTTCGTTTATTTTCTTGTCTCTTTCTTTTCCTCCGATTTTTGTTTCTTAGGCGTGCTTTTCGTCGTTTCTTCTTTCGTTCTTGTTCCCTCTTTTGAACCTTCCTTACTCTGCCATTTGTAAGAACAAAAACAACCCCGTGACTTTCCTCTGGAAACGAGAGCAATATCAGTGTGAGTGTCGTGAGGATGACAAGAAGCGTGAACGTCTTCATTGCGTGGACCACACGAATTACTTCAGGCACTGTCTTCAAGCGCGCTGTTGAATAGAGGCAAGTGCCCAACCACTTCTTTGCTTTGTGATTTAAGCTGTGATTTCGTCTTAATGGGTGGCTATTAAGAATATTGCAGCAAGTGGTAAGAGTGTTTGTTGACCGCTGGGAACGTTCGCTACAGTGCTACGATAGCCTGTTTGGACTGATGTATGCAGTGGGAACCGAGGCATTGTAGCGTCATAAGTGAAATTACCGAGGAATTCCAGGTATGCTGTGAAGAGTCTGAAAGTATAATATATTTGAGAGCCTTGAGGCAAACAACACTATTTGCAGCGTTTATTCTAATGTTGTTCTCAGTTCAACTCTTAGTTCAAACACCCGTTTAATTTTGGTAAATTTTCTGATTGCATTTTTGTGAAATATTGTCAACACCTTGTTAAAGGGATCATAAATCTCTAAGTAATCGCCAATGAACAATGTTGTGATGTGTGATGTTTACAAAGGGTTAATAAAGCTAAGAACGTGAGTTTGCCGAAGCATGACTTAAAATTACGTATTTTTATCTAGGCCGACTTTTTTTCTCACGAAGCAAATATGACAGGGAAATTTCGAAAAAATGCGGTAATCGCCATTACTTATTTCCCTAACAACTGTGATTTCACAAAACTTGTGTGGTTAGGCAAAAGTGATTTTCTTTGTTATTTGTGGCTCCTACAAGACAATCACACATCCCCTGAGAATCCTAGCTTCTGATCATCTTTCAGGAAAACAGGCTTATCCAGCTGATTGCGTAATATAATGATTGTCTTCGGGAGAGATTTGAAGGATTGTTTGCTTAGTGTGAAATCTTTGCCATCTCGGCACACGGATTGCGGAAATGGCGGCGACTGGCTCGAACACATCAGACAAACTGGTGCGGTTCAACAGGGTGTGGACAAGTAGGTTTAGTAAATGCACAAAAGATTATAGCCACTTAATGTCCTGATCACCATCATTGTCTTAGCCATCTTTTTGTTTGTTTGAATGTGATAAAACACTTTAACTTCGCTTTTGGGAAAAATGCAATTAAATTTGCTTTTGGAGTGGAGCAGGTTAAAGGGCACCACAAAAACTAGTCTTCGAACACGAATTTTGCAGCACCTTAAAAAACTACTTAAAATGATCGTTATAAACCGTCAACCCTTTCCTTCCTCAATTCTCGTTGTAATTTCATCTCCAGTAAAAGTTCTCTTCGTCAATTTCCTTATAGTCTTTAAAAACAGGTTAATATTGTTTTCCTTAAGTTATTGTTAGGATAGATTCTAATTGGAATCCCCCACAAGCTCACATCAACAGGTTATACGAGGAGATTTCGGAGAAAATCAGCGCGCGCAAGATTTCGTATGAACGTCTTTTGCTTTTAAGTTAAGGTATAGAGTTATGCTTCTATCAAAGAAAAATTATGTAATTGCAATTCCTAGAAAGTGCAATTAAAATTCTCTATCGTCTTTGAACAAAAGAGAATTCGGTAATAGCGACTTCAAGTTGAAAAAGATGGATAAGTGTTCCTTTGTCCATTCTGCATTCTACATATTTTCACCTTCATAAATCAAAAATCTTCTATCTAGACAAACTGTGGTGTTTAAATGAGGTGGAACGAGTGTTCTTGGAATCTGTACCAAGTCACGAAAGCCTTTTATACTCTAGCTCGACTATCGTCATTACCATTCTCAGCCTATATTTTCACGAGATGTTCAAATATTTTGAAAAACCACAATGACGTTTGCAAGGTAGTCAGCGTAAATAATGACGAAAGCCTTTGACTCTTTGGTACATTTCATTCTCTTACACAGTAGGTAGGATCTAAGATCCCGAGGAAAGAAACTTCGATACAAACCACCCATTTACGCAGATCAGTTTAATATTGCTCTTTATTTTCACGACGTGGGAGAAAAAGGTGGCACCCTATCGATGCCCGGTACTTCGGCAGTATCCAGGCATGCATTCAGAATACTGCTCACAGAAACATCAATGCGTTGTTAGAAACTCTCAAGTTTAGTGTTAGTATTATCACGATAGCCTATAAACGTTCACGCGAACACGCTTCCCTTGCTTAAAGATGCTATTGTGATAAAACTGAAGTTAAACAGAAAGATAATTTGTTATGTATTCTAAACAAAATCAAAATCTGTAAGATAGTCCAATTTACCCGAGGCATTAGTTTGAACTTCTCTGCGACAACTAGAGAAGAGCTTGTTCCTTTTCTGGCGACAACATTATGTTTTTCAGACGGACCCCTCATTATTTTGAAAGAGACTACTTAGCTTACGGAAAGAACAGTGAAAGCAAGTCTATAAAACCCATTCATCTCTTCCAATGTTTGGAAGCGACTCGCGACGACACTGAGATAGAAAGACTTGGCACTCTTCTGACGTGTGAAATATACTTTAATTAATAGTGAACCGACAATTTTTTATCTTGAAATAATAGATTGTTGGCGGCGGGAACAGATTCAATTCAGACTTGCCTGATATACAGTTAAACTTTCTGGGCGATTTAGCTCCGCATTTCACTAGCAGAGAGACTGAGTGATAAGATAATTTTCCAGGAACATCAGTAATGATTGGAAATGATCGAATGAAAAAGCTTGAAAAAAATTAAAAGCTTCGACGAGATCTGCTCATCTGTGGCCATATAGATACCGTTGCTATGCTAAAAAAGCTGTGTTTTGATGCCACATATTGAAAGTAAGGTCAGGTGTGAGTGTCTTATTAATTTCCACACTCAAAAATAATGAAATCAAGTATGGAAAAAATGGGAAGAGAACATCTCTTATAAGATGGCCCATATTTCACATATTTACACTTTTCATAAATAACCTCCTTATCCTTTAAATTGAAGATTTCTCCTTCAAAAAAGTCCTGGCACCCTCGTGCTTTTCATAGCTCAAGCTTACAGCAGAACTAATTTTGTTTCCCTTTCCCTGGATTCAAAACGACCAGCCGTTCGGGCTAATTAAAAAAATCAATTATCAATAACATCTATCCAAGGCTAACGATTGTGAACAGACATTACTACGACTTTCAGCAGAATTGCAAAGAGATTAATTTGATTTATTTTCGTTTGTTGAGTTCCTAATTATTCGTTATTTTATCTTGTAATAAGCTATTCGCAAGCTTCTCCAGTTTGCCAAGAACAAACAAAATAATTCAGGCTGACATTTCCTTCCTCTTTGTTATTGGACTGCAAAATAGTGTCACAGCATTAAGTTCTAACATTGGAAGAGCAAACCAACTTACTTTTCTCGAAGATTTTTTTCTCGCAGTTGGCACGCGCTTATATTTCCCTCCATATTTAAAGATAGCAATTTCGACTGGTTGAGGTTCACTGATTCAACAGGGGTAGGGATGGGGCGTGGTCTTTTTACTTCTGTTTCGAAACAGAATTCGTTTAATGATCACTACGCTATCCTCGTTATAAAGCTAGACAGCTGTCCTTACCGTACAGTTAGTGCCTTACATCACTATACTGTAAAGTAACGCACTTTTGAGCAACCCCATATATAACCAGAGCCAATCTAGCGGAGTGGAAGAGTCTTGAAATACAATAAGACAGGGATACCTATATAAATCACAATCAGAAATAGAAAAATCAGAAAATAATAGCGCACTACTATTATAAACAAAACGTCTGTCGCAGTATTATCTCGATAAATTAATGATATTGTCAATATTAGCAGCAATGCTTCCCGGTCTCTCTTAGTTTTTTTGGATATTGTACTCGACTCTTTCTATTATTTCAGGATCTCTAAAAATGCGAAGAAGCGAAGGATAACAAAATAGTTTACAAAATTTGTTTAGGAAATTTAAACATTTTCCATCCACAAATGCCGTTGAGAAATTCAATGTCCTGGTGTCTCAAGCCAGGAAGGGATGATCTTTTTCTCGAACTTAATCAGTGGGAAAATTGTTCTTGAGAGGGTAATCTTGCAAAATGGCACCCTGCGTCCCTGCCCGCCCCCCTACGGAGGTAATATCCTACGCTGCTCTCTTCAAAACAATTACATCGCTTTGTCTTAATACCGACATCTATCTAAGTCTTTGGTGGTACCAGCCAGAGAAGCTTTTTGAAAGATCATTCTTGAAAAACAAGGTGTTTTAAATGTGTTTACCGTCAGTGCTGACCACCTGAGGTTGCAAATCGAAATAAATTTGCACTTATTAGACCGATGGAGGGAGACCAAAATTCTAATTTTAGTACATTGCTTCAAGGTAGACAGTTAATGAAACTATTTTGAGAAAGATGCTCATTCTTGACTCATCCTTGACCTTGGCAACGATCGATATTTCGAGATTAAACAAATGATTTTGAGAAATGTCAGAGCTTTTGATCGTTTTGAGGGCAGAACTCTCCTCGAAGTTTATAACAAACTTATGCTTCGGGTTTTTTTTTAAGTTTTAGGATTAGCCAGTTGTATTTCTTTACATCAACCTTATTCCTGGGTAAAGTTCTACTAAATTTAATTAGATGAAGTGTTTGAAAACATTATGAGATATGATCAAACCTGAAGGGCAGAAATGGGCGTTTGGAGTCAGTATTCCTAGACAGCGGTTTAGGAAGAGAAAAGAGCATGTAATTGACACCGACCTGCAACACCAATATCGCATATAATTGAATTGTCTTTATTTACGTAATAGCTAAGATACGGTGATTGCTATTAAGTAACGCACTGTTTCATTTTGCATTAATATAGCGTAGTTGAATTGAACTACGATATAACTTGACAGTTATATGACTTCCTTCCGTTTGTTTGATGCCTGTTCATGGTTGCTATGGAATTTAATTGATCGGGAAGCCTGTCAATACATCTTTTTCTACAATGCGTAAAAATGTCAAACGCGGAATGGTTCTATCCCAGTCTTAACAATGTGAGCATTATTTTTTTCACAAAAGCTTTTGGCCCTAGACGTCATTTATGTGTCAAAAAGGCAACCAACGATGGCATCGAAGCGTGAAATATGAGCAAATAACGTAATAAAATCAACAAATAACATCTCCACGTTTACAAAGAATCAGCACGATTGAAAGTACGTGTGTTTGAAAACGTTTCTGTTTCAAAAGTTGACACCATTTTTAACGACATATCATGCGTTTAATCACGTTCGTGGCGCTGTTTGCGAAGCAGTAATTCCATCTCTTAAGTTTCCTTTAGTATTAATCTATTGATACGCTCTCAACTCTGCCATTTGAAGCCGGATTCCTTTTGCTTTGTCACTATAGTGATGACTTAGCAATTTAAGAAGGGGAATGGTACTTCAACTGTAGTATACACAACTGAACCAGGTATGAGGTTGGATTCGTTAGCATTTGATCCTCCGTTACTTTCCTCTATTAATGAGATGAAACTATGTCCCCTCCAACCACAACGATAATGTGCGCACATGAATATTTCTAAGTACTTGAGATTGTATCACTCTCCATCTGAACGGAATTGATTCTCACGCCTCCAACTACTCTTCTGTGATCATTGCGTATATAGCCATTTTTTCCGCCTATAAACATGTACGTCAAAGTTTTAAGACTAACAAATATTGAATTTCGCTTCGATCTGGCAGATCCGCTGGAAACTGTCGAAGCCCCTTCTCATATGTCGGCATGGACCGCTTTGGATTAAAGCCCGATACCTTTTAGTCGATAGTAGGCGTATTATTATCACTTATCTCCAACTTCAACTCACAATTTGTGCGCTGCTTGTGGAACGTACAGTCCAGCTACTCATCATTGTCAATTTAGTTTTCAGTCCAGCGATTATCTTGTCTCGCTTCTCAAGCCGCTCTCTTAGGACTTGGTTCCTGTTTTGGACCTCAAGTTTCAGCTTAACATATTTCTCTATCTCCTCCCTGACTTGTGAGATGATGTCCTGCTTGACCCGAAGGCGATCCATCATTTCCTGCATAACACTGTCGCATCTTTGACTTATCTGCTCTTTTTCGTACCTTAGTTTCTCTGCCTGAAGTAATAGAGTGTCCTGAAAGTCGTGAGAGTTCTTTATTTGACTGTTTTTCTTGGCGAGCTTTGCTTTCAATTCCTCAATTTCGTGATACGCCCTCGCAACTTCGTTCATAATGTCAATTTTACTCCTCTCGAGCGAGAGCAGTGCGTCATTATTAACTTGAATTGTTCTCTCTTGATGACAAATTGTTGCCCTTCTCATGATTATAAAGAGACGACAGAGCGCAATACTATTTTTCCTGATTGGAGAAAAGGACTTGATATATTTCCTTCGAAATACTTTCGAAACGTTCGTCTTCTTCTTCTTTATCAATATATTGTGCCTCGACGTTGTAATTTCGTAGATCTCGAACGACTGATTATAAAAATTCGCTCCCGCCACTGGGTTGCAGCTGCAATTACTTGTTAACAATCAAGTACCAAAATCTTCCTAATGGCATTGATCATTCGCTGAAAGAAAATTTGCGTAGTGCTTATTCCCCAGAGGAAAGTTCTTGTTTTTGTCTTTCAGTAGCTCTAAGACGCCATTGTAATTTTGTTACGTCAAACAGCACCAGAAAGTTGAAGAAACAATATAGTTGATGTGTTTGCTGAGTTTGCCTTCTCTGGCTGTGCAGAAAGATGTTCGAATCAATATGTGCAGCCTTATATACTTTAGCCCCGGTGCAATAAAAATGTTATCCGCTCTTGCAAATATAGCTTACCATTATTGTTAATGTTAATAATGTTTGCCCGCGTAGATTTCTTTTGTTTTTCGTTTGTCTCTCAGCATTGGAAAACAAAAGCGTCAGTTATTGGAAGTCAATTAACATTTGGTTGAAGTTTTAGCTTAATACACGCGAATAACAATTGCTGAGGGAATCATTGTTTGAGAAGATGGTGACGAGCTTTTAAGTTTTTGTACATGGCAGACTATAATTGTACAAAATTGACTGTAGGACAAACTACTTTATAACTTTTGTTCGACGAATGGATAGTAGCTCGTTTAGCCAGTATCTACTCTGCTGTGGTGATATCGTCATCTTAATAAATAATCGTTTACTGTTTAGTGGTAGTCCATGAGTATCCGTCTAAGCATGACGACTTATTTGCAATTATGTTATCAGTCTGTCCACTGTTGATATGTTCATTGGGTCGTTTTGCAGGCCTTGTCGATATCACCAGAAGTTAAGCACATTATTGACCCCAACCAAACTGAAGTGCAGTGACATGTTAGACTTCCGCTCTAAAGACGCTGGAGCAGTAGACCTGTTAAACAAGACATTCGTCCATAAATGCTAATTACTGACATTTGTGCCTTGCCCTTAATAAAGCAGTGATAGTAATTAAGTCAAACGTGACATGCGTTTTGTTAACTCTACAACCCGGTGACGCATGATTTTGAGTTGGGTGACTTTTGAGTCTCGCCGATTTCCTCAGTAACACTCAGTGTTCATTACATATCATCATATCATCTGAGCTATCTCGTTAGCATCCGTCTAAGGTACTTACATGAAGTGAAATTGACGCCTTTGTTATGACACTTGACGTCTGCGTTAATTATATGCGACGTCGTGGTAACAAGTAAACATTATTTTTTCTCTGGCGTTGGTTAAGCAGAACTAAATTTAATTTGATTTCCTGCCCCTGTCACGAAAAGGGTCGAACAATAACGGTGTGCTGAGTCATAGGATTGAACATCACGATACATGTACTGACTTGAAGGCGACTTTCGACTCTTCAGCCAGGACAGACAACTTTTGAAAAGCCGTAAACTTGAAAAGATTAAATATGGCAGCGGATGGTTTAGTCGCTTCGCTGCCCTCAATTGATCCTGACAATGATTTCGATGGTAGCGAATTCTCGCCTGTAGACGAGCAAACTGAAAGTAAGACTTGCTTTGACCAAAGTCTGATCTGGGAAGTTGCAGTACACCAAGAGTTCCTTGAACCAGAGATTGTAAGAGCGAAGAGTGTTAGTCCACACCGCAAAGTCAAAGTTCCAAGTACATCAACACAGACCGGCAAAACCAGGCGGGGTGAAGATAAACATCTGAGTACAGAACACGCTCAACTTCGGCAACAGAATATGAACAGATCTGGAGTACCAAACCGTATGTCTTTAAAAACTCCTTGTCGAGATTCAGGTAATTTGTCAAGGAACAGTGAATTCGAGCTTCCATCCATCCCAGTTCAATCAAAACGACAAAGGGCCCTGACTGAACCTTATCTGTTGTCTTCTTTGAATGAAGGAGTTGACTTCGTAGAAGGCGATGTGTTTCGTAAGAACCTGAGTTTAATGTATCGTCAAGGTAGAGAAGTGAGAAAACTGGAGTATGATAACACGGCATCGAGAAGAACTTTACAGGAAGCACACGACATGATAGGAGATCTCAAAGCCAAGATTGAAAAGAGAAATAAATTCATCAGAGAGAGGAACAAGAAAGAAGGAGACATCGCTCATGTTGTTGAAACTTTAAAAAGGGAAAAGGACGAAAAGCTCTTAGAATACAAAACGATACAAAAACGAATGACTGAGGCACTGGCGCTCAAAGACAAAAATCTTGAAGATATTGAAGCAGAGAGGACACAGGCTGAGAGTCTTTATCAAAAACAGTTAAAAGACAACACTGAACTGATGAGAAAAATTGAAGCAAGGGAGAAACAAATCAAGCAACTGAAAGACAAGACAGAAAAAGCAAAAAAATGGAAAGATAACGCAAGAAGCTAACTTAATTACAGTCAATGAAACAGCTGCTCCAATCATTTGGGTGGTTAAGGTTTTCAATGATTTAAAGAGCAGTTCGAGACGGTCACCAGTTCATCAAATTGGAATTAGGGGGTTTTTGTTAAAGGAACAATCAAGTTCGAGTCAGCCATTTGCAATCCTTAGTAATTCTCTCCAAACTAAGCCATCCTTGTTCCTTCTCGGTGAATGATTTCTTCTGTTATATTCCTATCTTACTGAACTGATATTTTAGTGGTCTCGGCCATCATGTTGGAGGGTATAGGTGGCTCTGAACGTTGCAAAGAATGACTGAAAATATTGTGACACTGGTTCCTAATAATCGATGATTTATGCATAACTGTTCCGCAAAATAACAAATGGTAAGCAACCAATTAAGAATGTGTTTCGTGAAGTTATGATTGCATCTGTAACGTGATTTTGTCACTTAGGATAGATCTAACTGTGAGCTGGTACCATCACATCAAAGTTGCTCATTTTAAGCAACCCAACACCTCAAACAATTGGAAAGAGATCCTCTTCTCCTTCGCCAGCACAATGAACGTGATCTCATTTCAATTAGGTTATTCACAGCCTCTATTCCTCTTCACTTCTAACTAACTGAACGCGATGTGAGATTCGAATAAGGGTAGGGCCCTGTTGATAAATTCATCAGTTGGGGGCCTGAGACAAGGCGTGGGGTAGGGATTGCAGAGCATGCACTCGCTCAGATAGACGATAGACCGATAGAAATGATAGATCTTGGGTCCATTGGGCCCAGGTCTATCGTTTAGCCGGAAGAAGAGGCTGTGGATATCGTGGTACCCTTGTGAGATAATGTTCTGATGACAAAATGATGATAGGTGAAAGCCCCTGAATGGACATCAGGGAGCCAATGGTAGTGACATTAGGCCTTGACTCGCGAAGGAAGGCGAGATAGCCGGCATCGAGAAAGCAGCAACGTATAGGCCACGTTAGGCCTCGTTGATTTGGCATAACAAACATAAAATGCCTCTGTGCACCAACTATCCTGGATAGTAGAGGTTTGGCAATTTGACCGTAAACTATCTGACAGCCGCAGAAAGAAGATACGTTTACTTCTTTCTAGTGGCACGGTTCCTCATGAGATCCTGTTCATAAACAGCCCCAAACAAAGTTTGTAGAATTTAATTAACAAAAGGTTTTTTAGGCTTTGAGCTTATCTGAGGAATGTATATTCTAACGGTTTCTGTCGAGGCCCGTTTTAGCTCGACTGCTTCAGTAAAAGTTGTTTCCATGCCTCTTATTAAAACGAAACCTTAGAGAGGATACAGTGAAAATGCCGCATTCTGAATCTAATGATTACCTCTTGTTTCAACTGATACCAAATACATGTATTGTATGGGCTCAAGTCTCAACTTGAGCTGTTAACTGTCATGGCTCTCTAAAACCTTGGCTTCTTCTATTTCCCTGTAACCATATCTTAAGACGCGACACGGGAACGGGAATTCTGCTTTAGGTCGGTACGTAAATACTCACTCACTTCCGTACACCCCTCCCCCTCCTCTTTTACTCTGTCTTGCCTTGTTAGCCACTTCATTGTATTGTAGCTCTTCTCGCTTGAAAATTTTTTATCAAATTCCTCTTACTAACCGTTTTTTCTGCTCATATTTATGGCCCAGGTGTAGAGCTCATGGGCCATAATTACATAATTCTATACAAAGGAATATAATATGTATTAATACGAATTAAAGACTAAAAAGATTATTGCGCGCCGGTCCGGTAGCGCTCCCTAGGAATAGCTAACGTTTGCCTGTTAAGAGACTTAAAATTACTACAAGGTCTAAAATTTGCTGACAAAGAGTTGAAAAGGGCTGACGCGCTATCCTGGAAAGTGTCAGAGGCCATTGCCTACGTTCTTTCATAGGCAACCAGCCTAATTTGAGAATAGTGTCAATACTGTTTACACAGTGTCAGCAGACAAAATTGGCTGCGGCAATCTGAATGCGCTGTATAGCCTTTATAAAAGACAGTTAGTAATTGGATAAAATATTATATCATTAAAGGCAAGGCGGAAAATAACTAAACTTTAAGCTAATTTTTTTCTAAGATGAAAGTTAGTAAAGTTCTTGATTGGATTCCGGATAGAGGGGGGAGATTTCGATTACTTTAACTTTTAAGTTTGGTGGGCCGTACAGTGAAATACGGCCTGCTACTGATAAACATAATCATCAAAATTTACTTATATATTGGTTTAGTATACAGAAAGTAGTTCATCTACACGCATTAAAACTGCATCAAAGATTTAATTTGAGTGCGTCAAAAGTATTACATAAAATTTTTATTGTATTTTTATTGTTATTGTACTTGACAAACAATAACAATACGCTTTCGTGGGCCAGAGAGATAAAGCTTTTAGTAAAAAAATCTCTCTAAATTTTGTTCGATGAAGACATACAATGCAAAAATGTACTAAAAGTTTAAAGGACACGAGTGAAACCAACACCTCCTAGCAAAAGGATAGTTGATGATAATTATATTTAAAAAAAAACTAGGAAATATTTGGACGTCAGTTTATCGAAGAGGAAAGAAAAATCAATGGACATTTTGGTTATTTCAGGTTCCAAAGTAAATAACGAGAAGGCCAGCAGGATTGGAATATTAACTGTTTTACTATTGCAATTAAATGACGATAGTTGTTCTTAATGATGAAAACAACCAGCGAGAGAAACGGTCAGAATGTTTGCCGACAAAACGTTTAAATAGAAAGGAGCCGTCTGAATGAATTATACGGAAATAAAATTCAATCAGAATTGAAAAAAAAAATTTAAAGCAGTTTTAAAAATTATTTTTCAAGTGATGTCAAATAAACATTTGAACTTTTTATTACTTGTTCATTACATATCTTGTGTAAAAAGGATTGACGACTTTGGCCGCGCGAAAACGTTCAAGAAAATTTTTTGTTTAAGCTTTATCCTCTACTCTCCAATACAAGGTTTCCAACGAATATCTTGAGGAAAAGAGCTCAAAACATGAAGTATGATATTCACGAGTAAAATATCTGGCACAACTACATTTATTGAAGCAAAAACTTATGTTAGAAGTTGACTGTGTCAAAGAAGCTAACCTCTCTCAAAAGTATACTTTCCTTTTACTAAGGAGACCGCCGAGCTAGATTATTGTAAACTATGACCAACATTGTTCTCGTCTTAAAATAACAAACAGCTTTAGAACTGGTGCCGTTTGTCCCTAAATTTATTTGCAATATACCATCAAACCAATCGCGAACCAAAACAATTAAAAACACATTTTTTGATCATCTGTCGCTGTTTTCTTTTCCTTTTACTGAGCCGATAAATTAACTTGACCGTTCACGTTTCTTTTATGTTTCATATTCTTTTCCCAAAAGAGAATAAAATAATTCAAGACACGTTAATTAAGACTTTGCTATCAACATTCTAGCCGGTGGCAAGTAACCGTAGGTTATCGGTTTATATTCTCGTTTGCTCTCCTCAAAGTGCGCCGATATCAGGAGAGACGATTATCAACACACATGCAGGTACATGAATACTGCTTTGTTTCTCGAACACAAAAGTTTCTTGAATGTGATCTTAGTTGAGAGATCTAACTTCGGTTTAATAATATGGTAATCACGACTTTTAAAAGACCGAAAACAAAAACCTCTATTTAGGGGAGCCATTAGCATGAATTTATGATCATGAGGTCGCCTTTGTGTCATCAAAGAGAAGCTGGACAAACATCAATTGAAGAATCAGCTGGCCATTGTCTTGAGTCATACGTGCAGGCCAAGAAATTTTGCGATCAAAATTCAAGCCTTAAGCGGACGTCCTTCGCCGTTCCTTATAACAATAACGAAAAAAACATTTTTGAGTAAAGTTCTCAAATCTTGGCAGAGAAGTCTCCGTCTTATTTCAAACGGTTGCAATAGACAATTCTCTCTGCTTTCTTGAGCTATAGCACACTGAGAGAAAATTATCGCTATGAGTAAACTTATGTTATTTCTATTTACGACACTTTTTAGGGCTGTGACGTATTCTTACCATCAGCCAAGAAATAACAGATAAAATAACAATAAACCGCATGGAAAAACTGGCCCTTTCATTATTTTCATTTCCTCCAGCCGTAACAAAAAAAAAAATGATAATAAAAAATCAACGGCTTAGCATAGTTGCTTTCAATATGTAAAGAAACCGCCCACAAAAAAAAAAATTCAAATTGAAGTTTAGAAATTGAAATTTAATAAAAAGTAGAAATGAATCAGGTCTTTAAACTCGAAACGAAACCGTTTATTTGGATTTTTTTTCAGGCGATAGAGGAAAGGTGTTGAGGAGTGTTTACCGAGAAAGGTTATTATCATACGTTCATTACAGTTTAAATTTGTCAAGGTTTGAAATAAAAAATTGGATAAGAAAACTCACAACAGAAAAGGAATCAGTTCATTCTCTCTTAATTGAGAAATAGTACAAGTTTCAGGACACAATTGGTAGTATCTCAGGTCAACCGAGCGAAAACATTGAATGCGCTTTTTTGGGAAGTTAAAGCAAAACAAGAAGGTGCTTTAACTAAAAATACTCTTTCACAAACCAAGTGGAACACTGGCTAGAACATGTTTGATATCATTGTGGTAAAAGTCAAAATTTAATTTCACCAAGTTCTTTAACTAAAGTTTAAAACTTCAGCACATCTCTTCCCTGCTCTCCTTCAGTGCATCCCTTAAATACAGCGCGTGAATATCACTTATACAGGTGGCAATCATAGAGGAATATTAATGACTTTACAGGAAAGTGGTATCTTAAAATAGATCTTTATCGTCGCGCGCGTTAAAGGGTAATGGCGTACGATTTAAAAGATTTAAGCAACACGCGACACTCGTATCGCAAAACAACGGCGCGCGTCGAAAAGGTAAACGGGATGCGCGAAAGACTAAATTGTACATTCAATATGCCTTTTTTGCTCGCTTAGAAGTCAGCTTAAGTCGCGTAGTTTGTATACTTAATTACTAAACGCTTGAAATATGCAAGGACAAGGTGGTACAAGCAAAATTACAATGACAAGATTTTTAAAGTCAAATGATTTTAGAAATTCGGTGTGATATTTAAAACTTAAGGGGGTCAGTCGACTTAAAGAAAAACAACAAAAGAAAAAAAAATTTCGTTCGCGTTTACCAATGACAAGGAAATAAAATAAACAGATTTCAAGGTAAATTTACTTTTTTCCAATGTTGTGTGTTTTTATCCTAACCCAATCTAGTTGACCCTTGGCAAGTTTTTCGCCGAATCGTCTCAATTCTTGTTCTACGATGAGCGTTGCTAAATGCCCTGAAATTAACCACAGTAAGCTTTGTGAATATTCATGTCACACCGCGTTTTCAGTAAAACTCGTAGGACAAAACACTAAGAAGCTTCTCTGGCGTGTCAATAAGATGAGCGGGGCAGATAGGATTTTGTAATTCCAAAAACGTCGCAAACTCCGAGAACGAGTCTAAAACGTCCCACTCAACGGTTAAGTTCATATGGCAAGTCGCTATGGACTGTTGAGTCATCAAACTGCCTAATGGTGATCGGTTTGAAACGGCCTCCAGACTGTACCCACAATTGCCACTGTTTTGTAAGATTTCGCTTTTTAGTTCTGTAGGTTGCGCAATTCCATCTTGTCGAGATTTTTTAGTGTTCTCTTTTTCATGTTTTCTGCGGATCTTAACATTAACTTTTGATGTTTTATGACTGGGATTTCCTTGCGGAGATTGTTTCAACTCATGTTGCGTCTCTGGCATTGTTTGCTCCCAAGTCTGTGCCCCACTTTCTGTACAAGGTTTGGGGAAGTCAATGTGATGAAGTCTTGTAGTGTTTCCAAATCGAAGAGCCATGCGATCCAAGTTGTGCTTTAAATTTCCGGTTATCAGCAAAAAACTCAAAATGAGTACTTTGGAGAAGTGTTCTAATCTTTTTGCTTGATCTGATACGGTTATCGCACAGTTCCCTTTCGCCGCTCTTTACAAAACGTGCTTTACAAAATAAGTTCTAAAGTTAGGCCACAAAACATTCAAGGCCAAATGTTTACGACTGGGCGACAAGATCAACACTTAAAAAAGGTACGAAGTCACCAGTTCTTGACTTGCGGTCGAGTTCCCCGGGAATTTCCTCTGACGGATCGCTCAACCCAGAACTGTGGCGTAGTTCGTTGTTTCTCTTCTACAAATCCGTTCGCGTGTGTCGTATCGGGCATAGCTAGCACGTTGTTATCGTTGACTTCCATGAGAAAGAGTAACCGCGAAACATATGGTACCTGTTTGAAACACAACAAGGAAAGTCGAATCGAGTCATTAGTCAAACATCTGCTTGAAGAGACAGTGTTATTGGCTAGCGATTTCTATTGTTTGGAACTCACTTTCTTGCCGTCTTTGTCTAATGCTTGCTAACCGAGTATCAGAAATAAATTAGCTTCTTAAGGACTGTGTAAATGGCGATTTACGCAGTGTTGATCATTTCTTTTGAATGTATTGACTGCAAGCTTCGGGAGCATGAATCGTGGTACAGAGAGAAAGAGAGTCAGCTACTCTAAGACACTCAGGTTGCCCACGTTTTTGCATGCGAAATTATTAACGTCTGTTTGTTTTTCATGATTGTAACTCATTTATTATTCACACAAATTAACCATCACATGGAGAAATTTTCAATTCAGTTTAGCAGCGCTAAATGGAAGAACACTAGAGAGTGCTTGTGATTGTCAGTAACCGCACTGACAATGGCCAAACAGTTATGAAGCAGAGAGATTTAAGCATATGCTCTTCAGCGGGTGCAGAGGTAACCCCGGCCCTTTTCTTCTAGAGCTAGTGACTCATTAGTTGTGTGACAAAGAATACATTTTTTTTCTCTTGCGAATTTTCCCTGAAAAAGAATAACTGGTTATTGTGTGGATTCACCTGCTTTAAATGTTTTCTTGTTGTGACGAATTTACTGAATAAACACTCGCTAACTGTCGTTTATCATCTTATGAGACTTGCGCATAAAGAAAGATGCAAATTTCCGTTCACCTCAGCAGAGAATCTCTAATGTTCAGTTGAACAAATTCTCATCACTCGTTGAGATTTCAACAATGGATGCTAAGCTTTGTTTCTTTGTTGCTGTCACTCCCTTAGCTGAAAATTTCGAACTGTTCAATTTCACCTGGATAACAAAAGTCATGGAGATGCAAGTGGTTTTTTTTTTTTTTTGTGGTTAACATTGTTGGTGTTTGAAATCGTATTGACTTTAGAAAAAGACGGCAGCTCCCTTTGCTGCCTTTAGTTAAAAATAATAATGATAAAAAAAAAAAAAAAACATCAAATCAAATTATCTTTGTCGACTGTCCTACGGAACCTCGCAAGTTTCATTTTATTTCAATCTGCTTCCAGCCACTTAATTGCAAAAGTTCTGTGCTTTTGTGAGTTAGATTTATAGTATTTCTATTATCTCTTTTGCTATCAAATCACATGTATATGTAAATATTTTCTCGATATCTTCCCTGACCCTCACCTTGAAAATCATCAGAATGGAAATGCTCAAAACGGAATCCATCTAAGCGCTACTTTTCGAGGTTATAAAGATATTCCAACGATAAGTATTTTTATCTCATTTACGCCTCAGGGTTTAAACATAGGAAAAGTCTTTCTGTAAGAAATATTTTAAAGAAGTCCTATTTTCGATAAATCCAGCCATTTTGTAAGAAAAACTCTCTAATTTATCAGGCTAATTCGTCAAACGATAATCCAAAGAGTCAGACGTAAACGTGACTTTGTATACCAAGCGATTAATCGCTGTTTTGTCTTATCCGCATTTTTATATAACTCGCTGTCTGCATGACGTGACATCATTTTAGGGCATATATAAGCCGTTCACGTTTCATACTTATCACCGCATCGTTCTTTGAAGTTAATCTTTCAACGTTTATTTACTTTTTAGAGTCGATGTATGAATTAAAATTGAAAACCTAAAATTTTGAGAAGTAGGAGATTAAAAGAACGGCTAAAATCTTCGTTGGTAATATAAACTTGACCTTTAATTTTTGTTTAAAAATATACAGTTTAGATAGATCGTGATTCTTACGATTTTTTCTTTGTAATTTATTTGTTTTTTATCTTTTTTTGGAAATCGCTTTGATTATATAGGAATAGACAACCGCTCTCTCTGCTTAATTTTCTTGATTTATTAGTTCCCCACTAAATAATTCAGAGTAAATGTCTGCAGACCCTTTGAAGACCTGAGACACAAATAATTTTTATTCATGCTTTTCGTCACTTTAATGCGGAAGGGTATGGCTCACTAACTTTTCACGTCTACAAATCATCAATAAAACATCTTTGAATAATGCTTAGAGTCTTCATATTTTTAATAAGCATGCACTTTCTATCAAATTCAAATGAATATTTTGCACAAGGCCTAACGAACAGGTGCTAAATTATGTATGAAGGACCTTCAAGTCCGCTAAATCTACAATATAATTACAAGTGAATCGGTCAAGGTCGCTGAATCGATTTACTTCTCGCTGTGTTCCTCTGACAAGAACAAAAGGAACTACTTCGGTTACTTCTAAAGCTACAAGCTGGCCATCGCCAGAAAGGTTCATTGATGATACTTTTGCATCTGGTGTGAACACAGTAAACAGCGTGAGTTTACTTTTGCACAGTCTCCAAAAACGAATCGACCGATCTTTCGAATCTAATCCTCCTGCAGTTGTCATCGCAACAGAGCCATCGTTGGTTGTGTAAATCCGATGAATAGCACCGAGGTGCGCATGCTTAAGCCTTTGAACACACGTTCCTTTTCCTACGTCATAGAGCTCCATTGTACCATCAAACAAACCCAAAATCAAGGTTCTGGTTTCCGCGATTATGGCAACTGAATGAACATGGTGCTCCGTTTTTGATTTAAACAAGAGCCTTCCTGTATGCACTTCATACACAACTGCACTGTAGAGCTGGGTAGCAAGATTGTAGACTATATCTGAAAGGAGATTCCCATCTGCAGCCAGTTGCATTTCTACAAAAGAAGGAAATCATTAAAATGTTGTCCATATGAGCAGTAAAGGGCACGATATTATCAATTACTTGTTGAAATCAATAGTGTTCGCAGGGTACTGCAATTGATCACTACTCCCTCTGAACGTGCCATTACTCATATAGAGATCTAATTTAGTCGCGATGAGCTTAAAAACTTGGAATGACCAATCTTACGTGGAGTATAACATTTGGGGGAAGACACCGATGTTTTCATGTAATATGTACCCATTGAACGCAACCTTTTAGGCCATTGAACTCATTGACTAATTGTGGAGATTTTCTTAGTCCTATGTACACGTACATAAACGCTTGGTTAATGCTTGCTTGAATTTAGTATCGCCTTGTTCTAATACTTATTCGTTACCCGTGTTTTTATTATCAGTCTTTTAAGGAGCGTTTAAGGACAAAACAGAAATAATTGAAATCACCCAGGCCATCATTGGTTGACTATTTGACACTTGAAATCATTCAGACTCACCACTGAAATCTGCCTGTGATTCTTCCAGGGTAATTATTTGGATACACGTCTTCTCATTCATATCCCACACAGAGTAGCTATACCACGACCTAGCCTCATCATCATTTACGACGCTGTGCCCAGAAACACAGATTTCGCCATCTTGGGAATGGACAAGTCTTAACATAAAGACAACAATAAATTTTTAAGATTCATATATTTTAATATTATATTTAAGGCTGTCATTCGGTACTAAAAAATGAAATGTCAAGAGACCGGTCGATTCACGAGGAATCTGTTTCATATTTGTATCGGTTTACAGTCAACTCGCCACCACGAAGACTCGCTAACAGCTGGGTCACCACCATCTAGTCGCCACCAGTAAACTCGCCACCAAGGTCGTTAGCTAATTTGGTCTAAATCCAAAGCTTTTGGCGACTCCTAAGTTTGAGCTTGAGTCTCGCGAGCATCGCCATAACAATGCCTTGGGCAATACTGTAGAGCCATGCTGAAGGCCTAATAGTTTTCTCAAGATGGGGGAAGGCGTCAAATGCGCACAATGATCGAAAGCCACCAATTTGATCTGATCAAAGAAGATATCAAACGGAATATCGAACGAAGTCTAACCTGTAAATATTTGGAACGTTCATCAAAAGAAATTCAACGAAAGTTACTGCAACTTTTTAATCGAACGAACGAATGACACGATCGAAAAGAACTGTCATCGATCGCATGCATTTTTTGCCGACAAAAAGAGTGTTTGAAAACTCAAAAGGCGATCCTGATAACTTTTAACTCCATAACACTTGGTGGCGAGGTAACATGCCTTGTTGGCGAGGTCGATAAAACGATGGTTACGAGGTCGATGGCGACGAGATCGATTATACTTTGTGGCGAGCTCGCTGGTGACGAGTCTTCCTGGTGGTGAGGTGACTGGGTACCTTGGTAAAGGTAAAAAAATTTAACGCTGTAAAAGAGCAAGAAATAATCCTAAGTTATTGTTTCCACTGACCTTCTAATATGTTCACATTCCAGCTGATCTATTCTCTTGCCATCACTGATGTCGAACACGCATAGAGACCGCTGATCGCCAGATATGGCAATCACCTGAGTCTGTTTGTAAACAAAACAGCTGTTTGGTAGTCCTCCTTGACAGGTATCCCCATCAAATTGATGGATAAATTGTCTCTCGTTCATGTCAAATAAGTAAATCTTTCCAGATGACACCAGAATGACTTCACTGTCGCTAACACAAACCACTTGAGGTTGTATTCCGTTTATAAACTGGATAAAATTTCCTTCTTGAAAGTCTATCAGACGTACTCCATTTTTCTCCCAACAGATCGCTTGGTACCCAAAGACACTGACGACTTCTACTTCGCCCTCCTCATCATTCTCGTCTTCCGGTGATGAAACGTTCCTTTCTAAATCCCACAGTCGAACGATCTTGTCCCGAGATGCCGTAATGACGTGATTAAAATCAACAAACTCCACTAGGTGAATAGTGCTTGGGTAAGTCAACATCTGTGCGGTAATGTCGCCAGATTCCAAGTCAAACACTTTTAATTCAGCCCGGAAAACGTTAGCATTTGGTAAAAACCTTGAGTTTCCCAATGTCAAAGCTTTTGATTTGTCGGACGATAATGCATAGCATCGTACTTTCTCTGACAGGTCTACAAGCTTACGAATTAAAACCTTCTTCGAAACATTCCAAAGTTCCAAAATGAAAAATTTGGTCTTAACGGCGGATCCCTTCCTCGAATCTGGTTCTCCTTCACACATCACTAAAAGTAACGTGTCAAAGGCTGTGACACCAATAAATTGTACCGTAAAGCCAGGACCGATCTGCATCTTCACCTCTACTTTACCGGTGTCCAAATTAGCAGCACTGATCCAACTTCTTGAGGAAGCAACTCCGGATAATGTGCCCCTGCTCGTGTAGAGAACATTGTGATCATCAAGAGAACACAAAATAACCGGTAATGACATTGCACTTTCCTTTGGTAGCATATCGTCATAAATTTCTTTAATCTGATTGCCTGTATGCAAGTCAAATAGCTTGATGTGTTGGTTAAAAATTGTCACCAACACAACTGTATTATAGCCTTTAAAAACACAAATTGGCGTCACAACTGTAAGCTTCTCTAAGAGAAACACCCTTTGGCCGGTAGAAAGCCTCCAAGCAGATATGGAACCGGGCTTTGAGGTCACAACTGTTGAATTATCAGGGGTTATCGTCACAAACCAGACATCATCACCTAAAAGGCCACAGGAATAAAAAGAGGAACGACTTGAATGAACTATAAAATGTGATAATGACAAGCTAGTGATCCTTGTCGAAAGGCGTTGCGGATTAGAAAAACTACAACGCTGCTGCCTTTGTATCATCATTTCTTCGAAAAACCGGAAATGTCTTTAAATTATTGTAGACCCAATCCAAAATAACTTCAGTTTCTGCAATTTTGATTTAAATTTTCGGTTGAAATATATTTCCAGTTGATGAAGAAAGGGTAAATGAATCTGGATGAAGTTATTAAGACAAACTCTTACCCCGTCCTCAAGTATGAGTTCTAGGACCTTGGTCATCAACATAGAATCACTTTGTTGCGGTGGCAAGGAAATGCAATGGTAAATGTTTGTCTAGCCTGCAGAGCAGGCCTAATTTTGGCGAGTAAGTGCGCAGTATTTTCTTGGCGAAAATTAC